GGTCTTCTCATTTTGGACCATTCTGGAATTGCCCATATGAGAAGCTGTTCCATTTCACATTAGTGGCCACAATTCAGTGTCGAAATTCCTCCCAGGACTCCACCCCTGGAGTACATTTCCTTATACACAGCATATAGTTTTCACATCAGATCGTAACAAATACACTCTCTAAAGTTAGTAAAAAATCTTTTCCGCTCTTTCTCTTTAATGCGATTACAGACAGTTAGCAACGGTTTATGAGAATGGATAAGATTTGGAAGTGTCTCGAGCCAGGGAGAGGAAACATCCGAGCATGAAGCACGCAGGCTCCCAGAGCTGCTCCCACAGTACCAGAGCTGGGCCTGTATTTCCTGATACATTTCCAAATTCTCACCAGAAAAACGGAGCTTCTTGCTGTATATCATTGCTCTTGGAGTCACTATTCTTTGTTAAGCAAAACTGCTAACAATAATAGGAAGAATTCATTTCTCCCATTTTGCTTTTAAAAGTGGTCACAGAAACAGTTCCACTCACTCCTTCGACATAGTTCACGGATTACTGACGGAAGATAAAATTCCTTTTTATCGGTTGATACTTTCATGTTTTGCTTTTCGCGTCTCTACATTATTTGTTAAATATAATGGTCAAGTTATTTTTATGAAAAAGAATTTTCACAGGGGGTTAGGGGCCACCTCCTCTGCCCTTGGCTTGGTGTTTCTCTGCGGAGATGCATCATTAATGTAATATTCCAGACTCTCTGCACCCTCTCATTTACTTCTTCTGCAGGATGAAGAAACTTCTCAGGCTGGTGGACTTGGAATGACTAAGCATGCTTAGCTCTGTCCTTCCTTTTGTCCTTTTCTTGAAGATGTGGCTGTCTGAGGATAGTAAGCACTTTGGTCTGTGTGAGTTTTAATAGCTTCTCACAGAGTTGGAAGTTCACAATCTAGCTAACCAGACACAGTGACTCTGGACTCAGAAGTTGGACAGAGGGGTGTCATTTGGGGCCTATCCAAACCTCAGCATTAGTTTGGAACCACTGACAGATTATGCTTTGTAAGGCAGAGAAGTTTCTGAAAATTTGGTCTGAGAAAGAGCTCTGAACAACATATGAATAGGTTGTAACTTTAGACCTTAGCTCTAAAATTCAATGACAAAAGGTTTTTCAAATTATAAACTCCCTTTCTGCTTCTTTCTCGGTCATCTTTGTATTGTAACATCTGCCACCACCTTATCTAAACAAATATGAAGGTGAACAGTGCAGTTGAATGGGAGGTCTTGAGTTCTTAGGTATCACATAACTAAATTTGAGATGACATTACTGTTAGTATTCCAGATCCAAACTAAGAAAGGACTTGGTCTGAACATAAAATTTGCTTTACTTACACTTGAATTCTGAGAATAAAGACTTTTACATCTGATTTTGTTTTTCTCTAATCTGGCGATGTGAGGAATGATTAAAGCAAGAGTTTACATGTGGCAGAGCAAGGTAACGATTTGTGATAGGTTCCCAGTCAAACATTCTTTTTTCCTCTCTTTTTTCCCAAGAGAAATAAATTGTCAGACTTTGAGAAGGTGGGGTTCTAATAAAATTCTTCCCGCATTTCATCTGTTGCTGCTTCTGGTAAAACACCTCACACACACACATGCGCGTGCACGCGCACACACACGCACACTCACACTCACATGCACACGCACATGTTCAGCAAAGGCTAGGATTTCTGGAGATTATTTTCAGAGTTTCTGTCTCACCTAAAGCACATATTCGAAAATTCTTCTGGAAAGGTTATCAGAGGCAGTAAAGGATGTGGACACATCACTATGTAGGAGTAATGGGGCATAAAACCAAATATTTATTCTACCCACTGAGCACCAGCTATAACTACAGTTTAGGAAAGAATTCCTCCATACCTGTCTCTAATGGTGAATGTACCTTCCAGATTTATCAACTATGCCAGGTTTGAAGATTAGTTCCCAGCAGGAGTTTCCTTAAACTGAAGAGTACTTTGAAAAAGGTTTATTTGATCCTCATCTCATCTTTACTTAAGTATGGTTAGAAACTATGGTAATGTATTTTAAGTAGAGGCTTCATTCATTTTAATGAGATAAAATGCCTATGGTGGTCTGATAATGTTGGAAAGATATTTATTTACAGCTCTATGGTCATTCTCTTTGAAAAAAGACTATTTTACAGTAAGATTTAATCAGTTTCTATAAAGAAATTACTTGTTGTAATGTTACTGACATAGTAGGTATTAATTCTTTCAGTTTGATTTCTGGATGACCCAGTTAAGACTTGAGTCTCTTTACTTCTGTAGATTATTACTTTCTTTACTTCTTAAGGTTTGGCAATACATGGTATCTTTTTACTCTTTCATTTATTTCTTTTTACATGGTATCTTTTAAAAATTTAATCTTCTAAACCTGTATCTACTTTTTTTCAGTACAATCACAAGGAACTGGCTAAAAATTACCCTCCAAAAAGAGAACTATCGAGTCATTAAAATCACATTAGCGAAGTATATTTAAAATATGAAAAAAAGTGGTATAGAATGTGAGGAAACAATTTATGCCAGTCCACATGACTTCATTATAAACACATATATGTATTATTAATGTATAAATAAAATTAGGAAGAAAGACCCAAAATGATAAAAATTTTTGCCTGATAGGGTATGTGTGATTTTTCTTTCAAAATGTTTTAATATTCTATTTTTGCTATTTAGAATCTGTTGAATAAATATTACTTTTGTAATAAAAAATATCATTTTTGACTCTAAACTAAAGAAAGTTTCTGGGTGGCTAAAAAGGCAGCTTTCTGCCCCAGCTCTTACAAACTATATTAATTTGTCTCATTATGTTTGCTTTAGCCATGCAGCCACATAAAATAACATTAATAGATCTTATTATTTTAAGTATTAAAATTTTTGTTTAACTGTGTACTACACGTTGCCTTTCCCACCAACTGTTTAAGGTATTTTACAATAAAAATAATGAAATGGTAAAGTCAAAACAGAATGGGAAAAGAGGACACAAGTCTGCCAATCATAAAAGCCAAAATAATTTCTGTGCTTCCATCTCAACTTTGTCTCTATGGTTTTCTTCTCTTTGTAAGGAGGAAGATGGTTTTGAAGGAAATACACTTTTTTGTAGCACTTCTATTGAAAGAAATAGCTCAGGTGGGAATCTAACCTTGGGTTTGGTAATCACAATTATTCCATGTTATCAACAATATGCAAAATTTGCTATTGCATTTAGCAAAAATTTACTTTTATTTAAAGAAAAGGGCAAAATATTAAAATGAATCCTAACAAAGGCAAGTTTCTTTTGTTGGCTACCCTGATGAGCTGTTTTATATAATTTCTGGTTTTCTAACTTGATCCAAGGATGGAATTTGGAAGGATGGAAATCACATCACATGTAAAATATCAGCGAAGTCCAGCTTTTGATTGTACTTTTGTGGCTAGAAGGCTAATAGTCCATATGTGTTGGTGAAGGACAGATTGATAGATAAATGGTAGCGTTTTAAAAGCACATTCTCAACTTCCTTATTTACAAATGAGGAAAGTCTAGTACAAAATTGCATAGCATGATAAGAAACAACACCTCATTCATCCATCCATCCATTCATTCATTTTTTTCTCTATTTAACAAATATATCTGTTAAGATGTTTTCATCTGCAGAAAACATAATATACATATAAAAGTGGCTTAAAAGATGGAGCTTAGTGTTTTATATAACAAGAATTCTGGTGGTAGGGAAGTTCCTGGTTGGTTAATTCAGTAACTATAATTTCATCAAGAGCCTACGTATTTTATGTCTTCCTGCTATGCCATCCTGAACCAGTGACTTTTCTTCCTGGGTGACCCCTTGTTTCATGACTGCCTGGTTTCAAGATGCTGCCATCGTGCCAGGCACCACATCCTCACACAATCACATCAAGACTCAGAAAAATGGCATTTCTCCTTGTACGTCTTTTTGTCAGGAAGGAAAACTTTCACTAGAAAGTCCCTGGTGGACTTCTCCTGCTTGGAAGTAATCACATGCCCATTCTTAAATTAATTGTTAATGGGATGGGGGCGAATATTACCCTGACTGCCTTGGACTAATTAAAATTCACTCTGGGATGTAGGAGGAAACTCCTTCCTTGAATACCTCACAAAAGGAAAAGTGAACAAAATTGGGATTCTGCCAACCACAAAACAACTCATTGGGCCTCTATTCTAGCTAGCTCTCTGTTAGTCGTAGGGAATACAGGAGGGAGAGAATGGGTTCAGGTCACTTTTCATAGAAGATGCAGTCTAGTGGGGAGAGGGGTAACTTGTCATTATCAAGAGAGCAGAATATCATTTTGGATGAGGAAAGTGAATAAGCAAGCTGCAGTATTGTGTACGTGCACATATGGAGTGCTTGGCTTTGTCGCTTTAAAACAATGACTGCTTTAAATCCACCAGAAACCACTTTAAATATCTTAGACAACTGTTGAGTGAAAACCTGAAAACTGTATTTACAGTTGACCCTTAAACAACACGGGTTTGAACTGTGTGGGTCCACTTGTACACAGATTTTTTTTCTCTTCCTTACCATTTTCTTGGTAACATTTTCTTTTCTCTACCTTACTTTGTTGAAAGAATACAAGTATATAACACATATAACATATACAATATGTGATAATCAACTATCAGTAAGGCATCCAGTCAACAGTAGGCTATTAGTAGTTAAGCTTGGGGGGAGTCGGGGCACCTGTGTGGCTCAGATGGTTAAGCGTCTGCCTTCAGCTCAGGTCATGATCCTGGGATCGAGCCCCATGTTGGTCTCCCTACCCGGCGAGGAGCCTGCTTCTCCTTCTTCTGCTGCTCCGCCTGCTTGTGCTCTCTCGCTCTGTCAAGATGAGTAAATAAAATCTTAAAAAAAAAAAAAGTCTGGGTAGGGATAGAGAAGGTTTTCCAAATTAGTGATTCTGGAGTGTAATCTTGAAAGCAAAATCTGTCAATACCAATAAACACAAAAATCTCATGGCTTTAATGCAGCAAAGGTTTATCTCTTAATTATGCTACAGGACAAGTAGATTAGATATCTTTCCATGGTGCCTCTCTTCCAACAGTGATTCCAGGATTATGGCTGCTTCCAAACTGCAACTCTACATCTTCGAGTTCTCTGATGTGGCTGGGAGAAAGAGATGGAGAATGAGATGAGATGTAGGTACCCTGACATTTATTTGCTTTGACTTATAAATGATATCTCTCACCTCCGCTCTAGATTATTGATCAGAACTAGTCACATATCCTAACTCAAGTGCAAGAGCAAAGGAGGATGTTGACCATTTGGTGAACATTACTCTCTGCCACAGTTAGACAAAGTGTATCGAAAAAGACAAAAAAGAAAGGGTTAGCAAAAGTACAGAGGTGAGAAACATCATCATCTGGGCCAGGTGGATTTTGGTTTTTTTGAATATGATATGAAAATGTGTAGATGATAAGAACATAAAAGAACAGTCATGACCCAGATAAATGAATGTTCCATAGATGTTAAGGGTCTTGGGTTTTATTGTACAGGAAAGACAGAACCCTTAAAAATTTTAAGTAGATTTGAACTCTGGGGACTATGGTCCCTGAGAGGGACAAGATTGAAAGCAGAAATACCTGTTATGAAGTAATCAAATTAGGAGTCTGTGAAGACCTTCATCAAAACCTGGGCAATATAGTAGGGATAAAAGAAAAGGACAGATTTGAAATACATTAGAGGCAAAATCAGCAAGAATATAAAAACTGATTAAACATGGGACACTGGGAAGAAGTGAAGAATAACTCCCAGATTTCTACTGTGGGTAAAAGGTATTATCAATTTAGACAAAGATTATTGAGGGAAGACTTTTTGAAGAGGGGGAAGATGAAGAGGTTTATTCTGGACTTTTAAGGTTGAGTTGTCAGTAGGAAAGCCGGATGGAGTCAACCAGCAGGGGTTTGGATAAAGGTCTAAAGTTGGGTCCAAGCTTGAGATGAAGGTGTGGGAAACATAAAAGTCTGGATGAAAGATGAGACCACAAGATGAGGTGTTTTGCCAGCTGTGAAAATGAGATGAGCAGGGGCTCAGAACTCAACCATGAAGAACACCAACATGTGAAGGGTATGAAGAAGAAGAAAAGAGCCCATAAAGATGAAAGAGAAGATACTGCCAAGTGTATAATGAGAGTAAGAAGTTCAGGGAAGGCAGAGTTTCAAGGAGAGTGCGATCAATCATCTTAAGTGGTGTCTTGAAGAAATCCAGCAGGATAAGGACTGAAATTTTTCATTGAATTTGGTGATTAGAAGTGCCCAGTGATAGTTTTACCAGAAAAGAGATTGGTAAGAAGGAAAGATTTCAATGGACTGGGAATTGCTGCAAAGTGGATAAAGTGGAAACACTTCCCCTTGAGAGGTTGAGGGATTTGCTCCTACCACACAGCTGGAGTTTGAGTTCAAGGTGGGCAGAACTGAAGCCTGAGGCCAGGTCAGGAAGCTTCTTTATGGCAGGGCTGGACCCAGACCAGTTCTCAGGATCCAGATAGTCACATTCATGAAAGCACCTCAAAAAATAAGTTCAATCTTTCATCACATTTTCTCATTTTTATGACCATGTAGATGAGTTGCTGAGGGGAATTTTCTAAGCATGTATTAAAACACACACACACACACACACACACACACGTTTGAAAAAAAAAAAAAAAGAGATAGACCATTAAGGTGATTTACTTTAAAGGGTGCTGAGCATAGCACAGCGAACTAGTAACAAATGATACCCCGCTAAATCCCAGTGCATTTTAGACTTTTAGGGAGTACTTAATGGGACCAAGCAGTCTTAGTAAAGTAAAATTGGATGGATGCATTTTTAAACAGTACCCCATGTCAACATAATTCTATCAAGGGATCTTTTCCAATAAGCAAAGCACTTAGCTCATATTTAAGCCATAGTTAAGGAAACAAAATTCTTAGAGATACAGTTCCCAATGTTTCTTGGGGGGTGGGGTCACAGAATTCTTCTCATGATAGTGGTCCTAAATAAAGGGAAGACCCTGGTTCTCATAGCATGTTTTGGGAACATTAAAAAGCTGTATGTCTCTAGCTTCATGGGGAGTGGAGGGAGATAAAGCTGACCACGGAGGCCGGAACCAGATAATGAAGGGCTTTATATATCATGCTAAGGAGTCTGGACTTTATCTTACGGGTTAGCAGAGAGCTATTAAAGACTTTTAAGTAAGGGATTATCATGATCAGATTTCTATTTTCTGGCAGCTACAGTGTGGAAGAGAACTGAAGGAAGACAAAGGATGGAGACAAAGAGACCAGTTAGTTAAGTCCTGTTTATTCTCATTCTTTCCCTCTGCCTTGAGATGCCTACATACCAAGACGCCAGACCTTCATATGACCTTTCTTACCAGGGGCCTCACGGGTCTGGGCTTTTACTGCCTAACACAGTGACCACATGTGCTTGTATGTGCCCATGTACATGTGTGCCATGCACACACGCACACACACACACACACACACACACACACCCGGATCATGGTTTTCATTCTGATCCTTTCTAAGCAGAGCCAAGACTTCCTGTTGTATTCAGGTCATCCGCAGGTCATGTTAAGGAACAACAGGATATATAATTGTATGAAGAAAAGATCCCTTGTCTTTTGGGAAGACATGGAAGGTCCATGGGATTTGGGCAAGGGGTGGGGATAGAGTTGTGTGAATGTGTGAAAATTATAGTCCAGCTGCTTAGATGAATTAATGTAAAATGTTCTAATTTCTATCTCTTTATAGTATATATCTCATGTAATGCATTGAAAGGTTGCAGAATTCTGAAGGGCAACAAGAGAAAGGAATTGAAGAAGAAAGGGTATTAAGAGTATACACACACAAGTAAATACTTGTAAAACTGTATCTTGACCTTGCCACACATTTGTTACAGAAGAGGAGGCAAAGGGAAATGGAAACTCACTTCCCCCAGAAAAAGAGAAGAGTAAATACATGTTAAATTCAATAAAATGTTTGCAAATGATGATTCAAAAGCAACAAGCTTAAAGGGAAGAGTAATGGAAATTGCCTATATGTATCTGGTTCTAATAGTGCAAGTTTAATAACTGCAGGAGAACAACTAAATTATAGACAGTCCTTGTTCATCACTGTGTCTTGGAAGGTAAGGAATAATGCAGCCTAAGTGAATTGCTAAAAGATTTTATACTTAAAGGAAAGTAAACTGATACATGTGTGGTCTTTAATGTCAGAAGTATTGTCTTTGGAACATTTTTTTTTTTGATCCCCTGGAAAACAAAGTAATATCTGTGGTTTTTTGCCTTCCTCATCTTAAAATATAGGAGAGAAATAGAGATGATCTCATCTAAACAGCAAAGCGGAAAGAGGGAGGACCACTTTATACGTTTTTGAATCACTGAGATATTGTTGAATATTGCAGTTTTGAAATGTGACTTAATCACAATGCTGCAACTCTCATTTCCGAGGGAAACTATGGCATATGCATATGTCTCTGAGATTAATGAGGCTGTACTAATATCAATAGCTTTGTCTGCCCTCCTGGGAGGAGGCCCAGGGTCCATTTCATACCCTGGTGATATACATGAGGTAGTGAGTCATTGGTGGCATAGGGGAAGCATGAAATCACAAAAGAGAACATCCAACGCTGGACCTACTGGTGGGCATCGAGGTCGGCAGGCTGATGGAGACAAGATAGTGAGAGTCAGCTAGATTATGGGTCGTGCTAGGACTTAAAGGTACCTCTTTCACTGCTCAAACACTGAAAGCTGGATGCGCTTCGGTTCGTGGTATCAGATAACTCTCCTGTTCACATGAGGTAGGGCACTAATCCTAATAGCAGTTGCTTCCAAATAGTTTATGAACTTAGCGCTGCTTCTACGCTCTAACCTCAATAGCTGAGAGGTGATGGGGATAAGCTGCTAGCTTTCAGAGTGCCAGATCTTTGTGCCTGAGACATTTCTTCCTTCCTTTCCTCCTAAGGCCAAGACACTTCGTCTTCCAAGTGTCCGTACTAATTAAATGCAGTCCTAGTATGCCAGAAATGTTTTGAATGTAAAAGATTAATGAGAGAGAACACTTTTGTGAAAGGAGGGAATTGAGACAGGAGAGGCTCTTCCTAGTTGGCATGGGTTTAAGGGAGAGGTAATCTTGAGGTCTTAGGAACATGAGCAGTGAATTTTTTTTTTTTTTTTTTTTTAAGAGACACTTGGCTCCGATGGGAAAGAATGAACAAAATATTTCAGGGACTGTGGCAGTGGCCACCCAGGAAGGCTCACCGTGATCCTGGGTGACAGATGAGCTGTAAGTGGGCTGTCTGAGTAAACGAGGGCAAGATGAAGCCATCCTAGATCGGCCCCTTCCGGCCATGTTCCTTCTTGTTTCGTTTTAGAGCTCCACATAACGGGAACCCACTGACCATTTTGACCTTTCCTTCCAGATTTGGCATTTAGAGGAATAAATCAGAATCAGCGCTGCCATTAAGCTCCAGATGTGGTGTCTTTAAGACAAAAGGGAGATCGTTACTGGCAGTTTTAGCACTCGGGACAATAGAGCACTGCTAACTTGGAACAGAAAGAATTAATCAGTAGGAGAAACTTGGTGTTCCTGTGGGCAACACCAGGCTCTGCAAATATTTTGACTATTACTTGTTCAATCAGCTGGGCGGCGGGAGGGGAGGAAGGAGACCAAGATTTGTGTTTTGGTAACTTGCCAGCACTTCGATGTCAGCTAACCTTTAGAGAAGCAGAAAGAAGATTTTTTTCTAAATACATTTAGCAGTGGTCAGACGGATGAACATATTTAGAGACACTGAAATGATGTAATAATGGCAACAATGTTATTTTTACAGCATTAGGAGGAAAGGAGGACCACTACCAGCTGCCAAGCTCATTGGTCACATTGATCCCTAATAAATCCTGGGTGAGCCTGCCCAATATTAGTCATAGGAGTTAATCCCCGGAATCTGTTAGGACTTAAGACACATTACTTTTAGCTGGGAGGGTAAGAGAAAATATTCTGGCATGTGCTAAGCAGAAGAGTAATTTAGTACACTTTCTTAATATTTTGAAAAGCTGTACTGAGGCAACATTTTTTTTTTTTTTTGTGGGATGGAATGAATATCTTGTACTCTCAAGAGAAAAATGGCCATCTGTCATCAAAGAAAAATCAGGGAAGGGAACCCAAAGGAAGAGAAACTTTGTAAAGTTCACATTTTTAAGAAAAATTATTTAAAAAAAAAAAAAAAAAAACTACACGTAGGGGCACCTGCGTGGCTCAGTCGTTAAGCGTCTGCCTTCGGCTCAGGTCGTGATCCCAGGGTCCTGGGATCGAGCCCCATGTCGGGCTCTCTGCTCAATGGGGAACCTGCTTCTCCCTCTCCCTCTGCCTGCCGCTCTGCCTACTTGTGCTCTCTCTCTCTCTGTCAAATAAATGAATAAAATCTTGAAAGAAAAAAAAAAAAACTACACATGACATCATTTCCACATACTCCGAATTCCTATTTGCCGAAGGCTGACAAAGGCACAATGCCGCCAATGAAGACGGCTTTCTTTTCCTAATATATTTTCAGCAGTGGCCCTCACATCTCTAGAAGCAGTAGATACTATTAATATCAGTGTTCTACAGAGGAGCAAACTGCCATTTACTATGATCAGACAGCTGGTTAATTGTGAAACGGGGATGGCGCATCAGGCCTATTAGACTCCAGAGCCTAAGATCCTAAATAGGAGGCTAAACTGTAGAGAACTTCACCACTTTGCAGGTGTTGGGGACTGACATGGTGGCCAGGGGCACATGGGTTGAAGTGGGACAGGTGTGGGCTCTTCTCCTTACCGGCTGCATGAACTGAGTAGGCTGTGAGCCTCATCTGTGAAACGGAGGTCAGAGTGTCCTTTCATAGAGTTTTTGTCGAGATTAAATTACATAACATAGAAGCAATGTCCCATACACCATATGTGCTTGGTGAGGAATAATTGCTTTTTAAATGACAATTATTGGAATATACTTATTAAATTTAGCTATTCTTTGACCAGTGATGCCCAAACTCGGGCCCTATTCTAGACCAATTAGGTTATTATTTCTGACCAACAGTTCATCTTAGAATATGAATTCTCATCTATCATCCCTTGTGATTCTTTGGTTCAGGCTAGTTTGGGACATAATTCTTTTGGGTTTTTGGTTCCATTATCTCTACCCCAAACTAGCCAACTACTTAAGTTATTTGTTAAAGGCAACCCCATGCCTCTGCACTCTCTAGATCAGCCCTGCAAATTACAAATGACTCTTTATTTTCTCCTGGATCTGTAAAGATTAGTGATGTTGTACCAGTACGTCCGATAAACTTCAGCTCTGGTTCTCTCTGGCACCGAATTATAATTGGTTAAAAGCATCTAGGGGAAAGACGGTCTGAGTCCTTCACAATGAAATTACAGTTGATGTGCTGAGACCCAGAAAACATAGCCTCTACAGAGGCCTCCCGATCATCTGTCAGTCATTTGAAAGTCAATTCAGAATTTGCCTATTCCAGAAATTGGCACTAACTGCACTTGATTTCAATTACTTACACATTACTCTCAGAATTTCAATTGTGAGTCTATAAAAATTATTGGCTCTTGGTGACATGACAAAGGTTCTTAATAAGGAGAGTTTAGTATCGTTCTTTAACTAGACTGTGTAGTCCTCAGAATCTGGGCCCACGTCTGCTACATATAAAGTGTGGGTGAAGGATATCAGAGAAATAGAATTTACACTCCCTGCCCTCAAGGAGAATATGATCCAGAAGGAAAGATACGCGGCTCTGCAAAGATTAAGCAACATTTTCCAACTGGCTGTAAATTATAGTGCCCTGAACTCAACGAGTGAAAGAAATATTATGTTCAGGATCATCATCAGCTCTTTAAGGAGACTCACACCTGAGTTTCATATAATGTTTTCTCGTTTAGAGAGCAAAGCACGTCATTACAAACATTTGCAGGAAAGGAAAACGATATGGTCTTTTAAACCACATCTCTGTCCAGAACTTGTTCCCAAAGTCTGATCTTTTCTAGTACATGAACACATGATGCTCTAGTCTAGCATTTTTCAACTGTGGCTTGTGATTTGTTACTAGGTCAGGGAATACATTTAGGGGCCATGACCATCATTTTTAAAACATGAAGTAGAATAGAAAATATCAGAGACAGCAGACTTAATACAAAAAGAGCTTATGAAAATTGTGATTTCCTGTAAATGTGCCAAGTCACAAAGTAAAACGTATTTGCCACTATGACTTGTAGTTGAAAAGAGTTTGAGGAACAATGCGTCTGGTCAGCACCAAGGAAACTAAACAGAGAGTCCCAGTAAGACTACAGAAGAGTTTGATGCTCGCAACGCATTTTTCCACTGAAGAGAATTACCTCATGTTGTGGTAATGTTTTCTGTGCGAAGTTCAAAATCCTGGAGAACAAAGTATCAGTCATGTAACTGCCCAAGCCATACTGAAGACGTGGCTTAGATGAGCGACCACAGTGAGCTTCCTAACCCTTCACACAAGAAGTGTTAGGGGTACCTGCCACTTAGTTGCATGCAGAGCTAGGTAAGTACAGGTTTTGTCAGGGGCAGCACTGCTCCAATAAGCTCCAATCAGCTCACCTCATGACAGACCCTCTGGACCAGGGATCCAAAGAGAAAGAACTCAGAAGCATTCCTTCTGGCAAACTCACCAGTAAGATACATCTCACTGCCTTACCAAACAGAACAAGAGAGAAGTCCCGATGAGTAGTCTAGATAGGGAGGGTGATGAGGAATAGAGTAGTGTAGAATGTTATTCTAGTGGAAGAGCCCTGGGAAACATGAAGCCATGGAAATACAAAGGCTATTAATCTCCTACCACACTCTTTATTCTCAGGGAGTAGTGTTTGAGATATCACTGCCTTCTCCAACTCACCTGCCATAGGGTAAAGAGTCTTATGGTCAGCCTGGGTGAGGCAAACCCACCGGGGTAAATAAACAATAGCTTATCAGGGAGCCCTATCCTCGCCTTAAGAAACTATGATACCTCATATGAACTACTCTTTCTTTGTGTCCCCTTCTAGAACCTCTTAGGGAAATTATACTTTTGTATGCAGAAGACTCTGAATGGAGACACAATATTAACTAAATTAACTCTAAAGCCCTGCTTATAAAAATTTACTTCTTGAACCATGTCCTGTCTCTAAAGATGCCCAGCCACATTATCTAATTAGCTCACCTGAGACTGTACAATGGCAAGTACAAATGTATTCCAAATAACAGAACATTATTATATCCAAATGTCTCCAATTTTAGCATAAATGCCTTTATTGATTCCCAGGAAGAAATTATCAAAAATTAAATTTCTGGTCTTTTCTACATAAATCGAAGATTAACAAAATTTAAGTGAATCAAAAGTGAGTAAGTTAGCTGCCTCAAGTTTGAGATAAATTTATTAAATTGCAAAAAGTATCCCTATCACCAAATTTTCATAGTCTAGTCACTCATAGCCAAAGGCAGCTCACTCTAATACTTGAGTAGAGCTGGGGTTTCTTTACTACTTCCATCTTGGGCTGCCTTCTACCCAAATAAAATTCCTGTAAGCCTCAGAATTTGACTTAGTTTGACATCAGTATAATCAGTCAGGATAGAAGCCACTCCACGTTAGTTCCATTAAAGTATTATTTATTATATGGAATTAGAAACTTATACAATAACCATTTCTAGGGCTGTAGGAGATAAGATCAAAAGGCCACTTTCAGGAAATCTAGAAGTGTGACTCACGGGAAAGTCACAAGGAGCAAAGCCAAATAGGTAATTCTCAAAAGAACCCCCAGAAGCCATGGGAAGCCACCACCATTGTTCTGAGCTTCCTGTCTTCAACAGCTTCTCTTCCACCTTCCACTTCACATTAATGCCTCTCACTGTCCAAAGTGAAGGGTCTAAGGACTATCCCAGCACTTGTCCTACACGCAGGCAAGTTTGAAACACAAGCCAACGGCCAGGTCTTGGAGGCCATTATGCAAGTAAAACATCTTCCCTAGATGCCAGTACTGGGTAGAAATTTAGACCTTGTGACAGCTACCAGGAAAAACTCAATAGGATTTCATGGTTTTGTTGCCAATAAATCCAGTACAAATATGGGGAATTTATGGCTCGTGAACATGAAGTCAATAGTGAGAACTCTCCCATTCTGAGTCTGATGCAGGTATTTACCATCCTGGAGAATAAATGCACCTTTGCACAATGTCCTCTCTCAGAAAGTAGCACTTACAATATCATTCCTTCGTTACAAAGTTTAGAAATGTTCTGTCTTCTTTGGGTCATCTTTCTTTCCCATCATATTTAAATTCCCATTTTGTATCACCTTTTGGCCTCTTCGCATTCAGTACCCTCTTGCTAAACACATCATGTCTTCTGTCCTAAAAACACAGGCTCCTTTCCAGTTGTTTTTTTTTTTTTTAAGATTTTATTTATTTATTTGAGAGAGAGAGAATGAGAGAGAGCACATGAGAGGGGGGAGGGTCAGAGGGAGAAGCAGACTCCCTGCCGAGCAGGGAGCCCAATGCGGGACTCGATCCAGGGACTCCAGGATCATGACCTGAGCCGAAGGCAGTCGCTTAACCAACTGAGCCACCCAGGCGCCCTCCTTTCCAGTTTTTTTTAAGGCATGTTTTTTAGAGCAGTTTTTGGTTTACAACAAGAGGAAGGTACAGAGATTTCCTATGTACCACCCCCTCCTCACATGGGCATAGCCTCCCCATTATTAACAGTACTCACCAGAATGGTACATTTTTTTCCCCAAGGATGAACCAGCATTGACACATCACGATCAGCAAAAATCCACTGTTCCCCTTAGGATTCACTCCTGGTGTTGTACATTCTATGAATTAGGACAAAAGAATAATGACATATACAGTATCCATCATTACAATATCATTGAGATTGAGAGTGTTTTCACTGTCTTGTCCATCCTATTTTATGAGTTATTATTATTACTCCTACTGATACCAAAAGGAAGGCCTGTGAATCTACCCCCTCAATTCCATTTGTTTTGTTTTTCCTGGACAATCACCTCCAGCAGATGGCTGAACAAAATTGATGTTGGAGTTTTGAGAAGCATGTCCCCCAACACCGAGGCAGGCCCAATACTTTTGCCTTGCATGCTTCCCTGGGGCCTGGATTTTCCTCAGCTCTTTATCTCATTGAGTCTTGAATAACTCAGAAACTTTAATGTCAACAATAATATCTCCTTCTGCCCTAATTTTTCTGGAGCACCGAGACATGTCTCTTGTGTTCTCCCTATCCCCAAATTCATTCCAGGGAGACCGCGTTTTGTTTTCGCAATTAATTTAAACTCGTCCCTTTCTTTTTCTACCACCTGAAAAGCTCACTCTCTTTGCTGGATCTGCCACTTTTCTTTTCAGACATTTATTTTTCTAACATACTCCTGGGGATTGAGCCTTGCTCCACAACCACCAGCACGCCTGTCCTGTAAGAAGTGTGAGTTCAATCAACTGCAAGTCTGCCAAAAGTATACACTTTTCAGACAAATGTGTCTATTTCCTCCACTCCATCCCCACATTGAATGATCCTGCCCAGGATGCATTCCCTCATCAGATGCCCTCTAACCTGGCACCAAACTTGAATATAAGATGGAGTAAATCATAGTGCTTGAGTCCGGATTCTGGGACTAAACCAAACAAGTTTGAAGTTTAGTTACTTTATGTACCTGATATATGTTTTTGGGTAGATCATTTAAATAACTGTGTCTCAGTTCCTTCAGATGTAAAATCTGATTATTAATGTTATTCCTTTGTGAGATTATTGTAAATATTAAATGAACTCGGATGTAAAATTCGGAGATTTGTTCATGATACATAGCAATCAATAGATGTTATCTCCCCTGTGCCTTCTATTATCCATATACTTTCCAGGCATTCTACCTCCTAAGACAGAGAAGAGTATCTACAATCACTGGAGCCCCTTCAGATGTGCTGATTGATGCCTTAAACGTGATCCTCTAGCCTTCTGTTATATACCTACCAGCTAGATAACAGCTGATTCAAGCCTAAGGAAGTGAATATTTGCAGTCTTAAGGATATGCCTCTCCCTGGTTTTCTGGACCCAGGCTCCTCTGGGGAGAATCATTCAAGCGAGTTTCTGGAGATCTTGCCACCCTTCCTCTGATAGTTTTCTTTGAACCCCAGCCACCATTTTGGATCAAGTAACAACTGCAATGCTCTTCTCTGATCCCATCTGTAAGGACAGCTACACCCAGGTGCTTCACCTTCCTCCTTCCCTATTTGCCCAGACTGACTTCCAAGGTCCCTTTTCCCTGTTCATTTTGGGCTACCTTCTTCCCTAAGAGCTTAGCATTGCCCTTAAGAAAATCTCTCTCTTCCCCTTCATTAAAATTTCTTTATTTCTCTTTCATTCTCCCAACGATCATGTTCTGATAGTTTTTAAAGCAATCCAGTTCTTCCTTGTTACCCGAACAAATTTGGTTCCTGAGGACAGATATTCCTGGCACGGACTGTTTAAATTTACCTTCTTAGCTTGGGTTTGAATAAATTTCATCTCTCCACCTCAAGCAAAGCTGGTTCATCCCTTTTTTTAACAAGGACTCCTCTACTGGGGGGCTGTTCGTTGATGTAATCACTAGCCCTCTGAATCTGGATCCAGTGCCCTGAAGGCAATGGGTTGGGCAGAGCTCTTTGGAGACAAAGCAGTGTGAATACATGTTTTGAGCCTTTCACACTTCCACGCCCGACACTAAACGAAAATGGGGAAAAAGATTGACTCAGATTCCTACCTGTACCTGCTATGAAGCTCTGTTGCTCAGATGGTACCTAACTGCTTCTGAAATGTAACAAGCTAGTTTGAAGGCCTTGATGGGGAAAAAAAAAAAAAACAGCAATGGAGTTAAAATCCTCCACACAAGCAGTGCCTAGAAAGCCTGCACAGTGATATGTGACAAAACGGCTCTCTTTTTCTACGATTTGCTTATCCTTTATTGGGCCTCACCTACAATATTAGGCCGAGCTGCCACTGTGTGATTCATGGGCAGCAACAGTGACACGCATGGTCAAGCCTGAACAGCCAGCTAGCTTACTGGGGTCTGTCCCAGCTAATAACTGGCTGTACCACTGGAAAAAAATAGCCACATATATGCTGCCTCAGTATACCAAGGTACAACGCTACAGGACCTAAATCTATTAAGTACTAAGTAATTAAGTCTCCTCGCTGTCCCATCAGAAGCAAAGATTAACCCATGTTATTTTGGTCCCTAAAGAGCAGTCCCTGTGTCCATCTCTCAAGGTTAATAGACTCCTTTCTTCTCTTGAGACTTTCAATAAATAATGTTCTGTAGCCATAGAACACAGATGAAGATCAAAATATTAGCTTCTTACTGATAAAACCTGAGCTGAAGGATATGGCTAGGTGTGCATTTTCTTCATTCTTCAGTCACATGGTCACAGGGAGCCGGGCCACCCCAGGACACCCCTGGAAAAGCCTCCTGACCTAAGAAGCTTAGCATGTACAGAGAACAGACCAGAACATAGACTTTCCATGGGCAGGCAGCTTCAAAGAGAGAAGCTGGAATTACCTTGTATTCTTCCAACTTGCCAGTCAGAAAATCCCATGAGAAGGCATAAGTCAGCGGGGGAGCGGGACAGTCCAAAGGTATGGGTCTTTAAGAAGTTCCCTCGTGGGAGCATGAGGCCAGATTAACACTTTAGACTTGGCTTTCAAAGAATTGCCTTAATAGTAAAGAAAGGAGAAGCTGGGTAGAGAACTGCTCACCAAATCCCAAGAACTTTTCTGATATTCTGACCCAGGAACTAAACGTAAATAACGTGGCTAAAGTCAGGGTAGACATTTGTTTCGCACTGCAATGTTTGTAGTATGGGAAATAAGTCACATTGACCACCTAGAGCTAATGTTGATTTTTATTCTTGCCCATTTGTAAGGCATATCTTACTTTATAAACTATAGCGTTTTTAATTCAAGTTAGAAAATAGACCCTTGGGATTTTTAACAATAGCTTTGCTGCATATTTTAGTAAGAGTCCAATTCATATGTAACATTTTTGAGATTCTTCTTGAAAGTGCTTTGAAAACGTATGATATTGTACAGAAGTATGATACTGTTTTCTGCAAGTTTAGAGCTTTATACAGTGGCTTTTGTTCTAATAAGCCATATTTATCTCGAAAGGTAGACAAATGGGCACCTGCAGTTTATAAATAGTGATTTTGGAGTGCCTGATCTGCTTCTGAAGTTTTGACTGTCCTGGCAGGAGACTAAGCTTGATTAGGGTGATGGGGTTCACTTTTTTTTTATTGTTGGAACATGAATGGAACCCCTGCTTTTTTGAAATAAGGAAGAAGCATCAATAATCCCAACTACCTAACTCAATTACTATTTTCATGTTTGTATTTTCCCTTCTACACTCCCTCTATTATGTTCTTTCTCAAGAAAATAAATTAGTCTTATGTATCTTTTCTCTAAGAGTATTTCTCAGCTGAAACCATTATAAAAATCTGTATTTGAGTTATACACCAGCTGATTTCGAAATATTTTCTACCACCTATGGCTGATAGGATCATATATGACTGGTGTGTTTCTTTTTCAATAAACTTCTCTTCATTCAGGCTGTCTCGTGAAATCCTCGGGCTCCTTAGGGACCTCAAATGCTAGTTGTGATTCATGTCCAGTTTGGAGCCCTTCCCATACCATCTCTTTCATCTTCATGGGAGAGTACTTGAAAAGGTACATAAACTTCCCTACCATGTAGGAGTCATTCCCCAAAATACCCTTATCTGGTATTGAGCTTTGCAATTAATAAACTTAGGTCAAAACATCATGTTTAATTTCATTTGTGCCATACAATCATTCTTTAATAAGTAAAAATAACTTTAACTTGAGGATTTCCTTGAAGTGAAATATTGGGTAGACAAAATGGATCCAAAATCTCAGTCACTTTTATGTGTCCAGACCAGATTACTTTTTCCTGGGGCCTTTCAAATAAAACAAGTCACAAACAAGGTGATTTTGTTAAAAGGGACTGGGGTCTGCTCAAAGGCACATATGAGTTCAGAATGAAAATATCTAAATATATGTCTTCTGGGTTCCCTGTTGTTATCAATGTAATCTCAGAGGTATCTGTAAATCAAATAATAATGAGGGGCAGAGGGAAAGAGAGAGAGGTGGAGAGGTGGGGAGAATGAGGGAGAAAGAGAGAAAGAATGACAGACAGTTTTCTGCTCTTGGGTTAGTTGGTTAGTGGGCTCTCAAGAGCCCAGAAAACTCTTTTCCTTAGATAAGGGAGTTGGCAAAATAGCTCCTTTGTAAATTCTACACTCACATTCTGACTGGTCCCGCATTAGTCTTACCATTCTGCGCAGTGGTTGACGGATGCTGCTATGCTGTTCTACCTGACCCACTGTTGGAATAAATTATCATCATGGTCCTGTTAGCAGGCCCAGGACAAGATAGTGCTATGACAGGTATAATACAGGAATAATGTAGACCCAGGTGTAAATAATTAAAGTTGTAATTCAAGCACAGCTTGCCAGTGACATCATTTGTCAATGCCACTAGAATCCTTCAATGAAATTACAGCTTTATATGTAGAATTTAGATGTACACCGTTCATTGCAACCCATGAAAAATGTTCCCATTAAATGTAGGTGCTGGGTACATTAACATCAAAGGGCAGGACTAGATTCGAATAACTGAGCCCCTATTCTCTTTTCTTCTTCCACCAAAGTGAACCCATATATTGCTTACTTCTAGACTCAGTGAACATAACCTTAGTTTAAAAATGATTGTCCTCTTTTTGGAGGGCAGTTCAGAGAACAAAAAGCAAGGTTAAAAAGGTGAAGAGGCCAAGTGGTGGGCACAGATGAGTTAGTGAGTCGAAAAATAAAAGCTGATGTCAGGTTGCTACTATATATCAGAAGCTACCTTAGTTGCATCCGTATTTTTTGTCGAGATTTACATCTTAATGGATTGCGGAAAATGTCAAAGGAGAACTTGGCTTTCTGTTAACATTGTGAAGTGAGTAAATTGTAAGAATGTAAGATAAATTATGCCAGAATATGGCTATTTCAAAATAGCCTTGGTATCATGCACAATAGGAAAAAAAAGAGGAAAAAATAACAGAAGTTGGAAAACAAAATCTTCTAAATAGAGTTGAAGGGTGGGGTCTATGCTTGTCAGTTTTTACTAAACTTCATAAATCTGAGATGCCTACATAGATTGTTTCAGTAGAAACTAATCTTGAAAAAGTGCAAAAGTCATCCACACTCTTTCAATCTATATTCCTCTCTCTTCATTTATCCCTCTGCCTCTTGTCTTCCCCAACAAAAAAGTATCCTAGGCATGTCTCATGCAGAGAGAAACCATATGTTTATGGGGATTTAATAAGACAACATTACATTAGAATGACATATCTATCACTGTCTCAAATTTTCCGGAGGACAATTTAATATCAAAAGCTTTAAAAGTATGCATATCTTCCGCTTCTGAAAAAGTCTACTTCTAGAGATCTATCCCAAAGCTAAAGGGCACACAAGTGTTGGTCATTTGCAGCATTCTTTATAAAAAGAAAAATTGAGAACAATGTAAATGGCTGACAATAAGAAGTTGGTTCTTTAGGTTACGACAAATCTACCCACAGAACTATCTGCAGCCCTCAATGTGCCATAAATGCACAAAAATATCTAATGACATGAGAAAATCTTTGTAATGTGTGGGGTGATGAAAAGCAGGTTAAAAACAGTTTTGTACAGTATGGTCTTACCTTAGTCTGTTTGGGCCGATATAGCAAAATGCCATTGACCGGCTAGCTAAAGCAACAGACATTTATTTCTCACAGTCCTGGTAGCTGGGAAGTCCAAGAACAAGGCACCACCAGATTCAGTGTCTGATGAGGAACTGCTTCCTTTGTTCATGGACAGCTGTCTTCTTGTTGTATCCTCCCATGGCAGAAGGCTGAGAGAGCTCTCGGGGGTGTCTTTTATAAAAGCGCTAATCCAATTCATGAGGACTCCACCCTCAAGACCTAATCACCTCCCAAATGACCCACCTCCTAATACCATCCCACTGGGGATTAGATTTCAACATACGAATTGGGAGGGGCGGGGTGGACACAAACAGATTTCAATTCTGCAAAAGAAGCAACATACTTAATATACCATTTTAGATACATAGAAGGACTTCGGAAAAACTGTCCTTAAATTTAGTGATTATGAGTAATTGTATAATCACAGTAACTTAATGAACAATGTTCTCTGCCAGGCTCTCTTTCAAGTGCTTCACACACACTATTAATTTATTGAAATTCTTCAAACAACCAAGAAGATAGGCTTTATTGTCCCACTTCAAAGATAAAATCAGGTACACAGAAATTTAGAGTTCTGGTCAAACTAACAGTAGTAGACGTGGGGTGGAACCTTAGCACTCTACGCCGAGAACACATTTTTAATTACTATAGTATAGCAACATCCCAATTTTTATTCATTTAGGTTTTATAACTTTCTCCAAATTTTTCAGGGTAAATATGCATTATTTTATAACCCAGAAGACTAATCAAATCTTATTATTAAAATCATATTTTAAAAAATCATATTCGATATTGAAAAGGAAAAGAGAAAAGCTCCTAAATACTATGCAATAATATTTCCATTTCAAGAAATAGATGTTCTGAAACCAAATTGATGGATTGGAGTTTCCTTAAATTTCCTTTTGAGTTTTAATAAAACCGTGTAACCGATGAAATAACAAATGACAACATTTCTGCCTTACTAATCACCTGTTTATTTTTCTCTATAGATGATCAACCCATCCAAGAAACATGGTATTTCCGTAATACCACTGTGTCTGTCCTTGGTTGCCATCTTTCCCCTTTATTTTCCCTTTCCAAAGAAGCCTACACACCTCATGGAGACACCTGACAACTTGTTCTCCTTATAAATAAGGAGAGAACAGAGTACAGAAAACAACACCATTGTAGAATTAAGTTTATCATCCTTCTTTCAAAAAGAATTGGTCACAATTTGCTTTGTTGGAGCAATCTGTCCCTTGTTACAGATTTATATTGCTCTGTGGGACTGTGTTAGAAAAACATTATTATTATTAGCAGTAGTAATACTTGGCAGCCAGTCAGCACATTTCATCAAAGACTCCAAGAGCTTAGCCATCAATCAAACTCGCCTTGCTGTGCTCCTGGGAGGAGGTGGTATTATTTCTGTTTGGAACAGAGGTTAAGTGACTTGCCCAAGGCCTTGAAGCTAGGGAGGTTCAGAGTTGGGAAATAAACCCTGGAGACTTGACACCCAGCATCCCACTCTCCTTCCTAAAGCACATGCCCTCCACCCGTCTGAAAGATGTAGGGATAAAGAAAGCATCTAATAGAAAAATGTCCTGCTCCCCAGCATGCATTCTTATGCTCAAGCTTTTCTGGCATTAAATTAGAAAAGCACAAGTAATTTCCTCCAGAACTTGAGCTGGTACTTTTCAGTTTGGGCGCCTGTTTCATTCATTCCTTCACCAAATATTTGTTTAGCGCTACCAGGCGTTAACAACAATTCCGTTGTTGTGAGCAATCCGGCCATGACCTGCAGGGAGTTTTCAGTCGAGCAGGAAAGGAAGACTAATAAACAGACCATTGTGACACTGAGTGATGTTGCTTACCGTTTACTACTGTGTCATGGTCCACATTTGAAATCTAAAGTCATATATGGTGTATATATATATAACCTCAAATTTGGTACTTTAATTTTAAGTGAAGTATAATAGGTGGTAACCCCTCTCTATCATTTTTTATAAGTTACTAAGAAATTTTAGAATTAGAACATGACTCCCAAGGGGCGAAATTATTTTTTGTCATTCCCCTTTGCTGTAACAGAAAATAACTATTAGATTGAAAATTCTAGTATTGGATTTGAGTTCAATACTTTCTCTGAGAAGAAGCAGGAGTGTGCAGTATTCTTGGTGGTTGTTGTAAAGTTCTGTGTTCTCATGGGGGGCATGGCTCCGTGGGTACATACGTTTGTCAAAATTCATCAAATCGTGCACTTAAAATGTTCCCATGTGTTGTATTGGATATGAAATTCATCTTAAAGTTTATTGAAAAAGTCTGATGTAAATGTAACATTTAGGAAATATAAATTTTTGAATTAATAACTGAACCTAATTTATTTTTATTTTTTATTAAGTTTTACATTTTAATTCCAGTATAGTTAAGATACGGTGTTATATTAGTTTGAGGTGTACAATATAGTGATTCAACACTTCCATACAACACCCTGTGCTCATCATGACAAGTGCCCTCCTTAATCTCCATCACCTGTTTAACCCATTGTCCCCCCCACCCACCTCCCCTCCAGTAACCATCAGTTTGTTCTCTATAGTTAAGAATCTGTTTCCTGGGGCGTGTGGGTGACTCAGTCAGTTGGGCGTCTGCCTTCGGCTCAGGTCATGATCCTAGAGTTCCAGGATCGAACCCCACATTAGGGTTCCCGCTCAAAAGCGGTGTCCACTTCTCCCTCTGCCCCTCACCTGCTCATGCTCTCTCTCTCTTTCTTGCTCTTTCTCTCAAATAAATAAATAAAATCTTAAAAAAAAAAAGGGTCTGTTTCTTGGTTTGTCTGTCTGTCTCTCTTTCTTTGTTCATTTGTTTTTTAAATTCCACATATGAGTGAACTCATATGGTTTTTGTCTTTCTCTGACTTATTTTGCTTAGCATAATACCCTCTAGGTCCATCCACATCATTGCAAATGGCAAGATTTCATTCCTTTTTATGGCTAACTAATATTCTATTGTGTGTGTGTGTGTGTATCACATCTTCTTTATCCGTTCATCTGAACCTAATTTCTAATAATAAAATAACACTATAATGCTTTTTTGCCATAAGATGAATATAAAGTTAATACAACTGAAGATTGACTTTCGTCCTCTGCCCTGTTCTGATCTCAAAGAGGGAAGAGGAATGGGCTAACGTGTTTTATCTTTTTGTATCCTCTTCTGTGTGTGGGTATGAAAGATAGGAAAAAACTCATGATGACATATGGAACTTTTCAGTTCAGAGTATTGGTCTACACTATAATTTTCACCATCTGTATTCTTACACTTTATCTTGTCGTAACAGATAAACCCCAAACTATTTTTACTAACCTTTGTTTTAGGCATCCCATTATTTTATATGACTACATTTTATATACTCCACTAATTGTTTATTGGTTTTTTTTAATTTTATTTTTACTATGCTCTCTTTTATGACTCTGGAGTAAAATTAATCTTTAGTCAATTTAGCGTTTCTTTTTTCTCTGGTGTTATGAATCCTAGATTCTGGGAAGCTTCTTTCCCTAATTGCCAAAGCACGGAGAAGGGTAACTGCTGATGTCCAGTGAGATGCCCTCATTCCTGCTCTCTTTGTTTGCTCTTGTTGCATGGTCCTCTATCTGTGACTGCATGATTCCTTCAGCTCTTGTACCCACCCGCCTGCAGCCCTGCACCCCTCCGCTGGCTTGGGAAACTCAGCAGGACTACCTATAGACGTTACAGTCTCCAAGATATTCTCTGGCCACATAGAATTACTGTTCTTATGTAATGCTAAGCAGCTGGTAAACGATGTGAGGCTATTTTGAGTCCATAGGCTTAGACCTATGCCACAAATTAAATACCTATCGTAGCTAGATGCGTAAAGAGGTAGGTGGATAGTGGGGACCATGATGACCTGGAGAACAACTTGTCCTGTTGGAGGAGGAGGGTTTTCAGTTCTGGTGAAATACTTCCATGTGCAAATGTGGACAGATGTTCACAGATCTTCTGCATTTTCAAGAAAGTAGATGGAAGATTTTAATGTGAAACTTGCCAGGTGCAGGCCATCTCTAGCCTGTGGACGGCCATAATTGTTTTCTATTGCTATTGTAAGAAATTATCACAAACTCAGTGGCATAAAACAGTACGAATATATTATCCCATAGTTAAGTAGGTGAGAAGTCGGCCATGGATCTCACTGGGCTAAAATCAAATGTGTTGACAGGCTATGTTCCTTTTTGAAGACTCTCGGTGATTCTGTTTCCTTGCTTTTTCCAGCTTCTTGAGGTCACCCACATGCCTTGGCTCATGGCTCCCTTCTTCTGTCTTCAAAGCCAGCAATGTCATCCCTCCCTGGCTCCTTCTCTATTGTCACAGCTCTCACTGACTACAGTTGGGAAAAGGCTTTCCACATTTAAAGACTCATTTGATTATATTGGACACACGAGGATAATCTCCTCATCTCAAGGCCTTTAATCAAAGCTAAATTTCCCAGGTGCCTGGGTGGCTCAGTCGATTAAGCATCTGCCTTCGGCTCAGGTCTTGATCTCAGGGTCCTGGGATCGAGCCCCGCACCGGGCTCTCTGATCGCAGGGAACCTGCTTCTCTCTCAAATAAGTAAATAAAATCTTTTTTTTAAAAAGAAGCTAAATTTCCTTTTGCCATGTAAATTAATGTATCGATAGATTCCAGGGATTAAGACAGTAGCACCGGGGGGAGGGGTTATTATTTTGCCCACCACAGGTGCCAGTTGTAACCTCTGACTTAAATATTCTATGACATCTCTACTTTGGGATTCTTTCTACTCCTTAGAAAAAGGCTATGGGCTTCTTCTGCTTTCTAGTTTTCCTGGCCCTACCAAGTTGCTGTCACTCTTGCACAAGTGAAATTTGCGTGGAGCAATTGAGGCTTGGGCTCCCCAGTCTGGGGACACGCCGGCACCTATTGCTTCCATACCAGGAGGGGCTCTGGTTTTGGGGAGCAGGGCAAAAGTCTTACTCCAGCTTCATCTGAGTGCCTTAAATCCCTAGTGAACTTGGGGCTAGGCTTTGGAAAGCTTACTTCAAAGAAAGTCACAGTTTGTTTTTGCCTGAAGGTTATGGATAGTACAGGGCAGCAAGGTTTGGCTGCCCTAATGAAA